ATTTATAATATATTAATTAAATTATATATATTAAATATATAATAATTTTAACTTAAATTCTAATTATGATAGTTATGTTAAAAATCAAGTGAAATGTAATAAATGTAAATAGATTTAATAAAAATAGGTGCAATAATTTTTAAGATATATATTTTTTTCGTTTATTTTTTTTTTAATTCAAAAAAATGTATTCAATTTTTGACCTTTCTAATAGAAGTAATATAAAATAAATTAATTTTTTATGTTTTTTATCATCTTTAATAGTATTATATCCATAAATCTACAAATATAATAAAAAACAATTTGTAATATATTATTTTTATGAAAATTTTTACTTTTCATCAATTTTATTTTCATTCATTTGTTATGCTACTTATAAGATATGCAACTAAGATAATAAAAAATTTCCCCTAGCTTTTATTATTATATTTACTTCTATCTACATTATGCTACTGAATCTTAAAAATATATCAATATTTTTTTTTTATTCTTTAATAAAATGAAATATATATGTGTGTAATCATTACCCTTTCATTTATAAAAATTATATAAAGAGGCTTTAGTAGCTTTATATAAAAATAAATATATCTTGAGATATATGTATCATGTAATACATTGTATAATGAATGCATGCATTCCATTAATATGAAAATCCTTCTTAATTGTGTTACATTTATATCTATATATTTATATTTTTATATTTAAAACAAAATATTATATTTATCATTATTATTTTTTATTGTAGAATATTCTTCAACATACATGTTAGCTTTTATTTTTCTTTATTTTAATTATATATATTCTTTCTTTTTTCTTACACAAATAAATTAAAATATATTATATATGTATGTTAGTAATTTACTAAATGCTTATTCAATGATTTTTTTGGAGTATTGAACAAACAGATTAATAAAGAGCATGCATATTTATCTATACTAATATAATTAACATAAATTTTTTTTTAATGCTGTAAACCAGTAAATTGTATTTGTTTTGTCTAATTATTTGAGTATTTATTTTTTTTCAGAGGAATCTATTTACTTTAATAAAAGTCCTATATTTTCATTAAAAACTTAAATCATCATTATTTATTTTGATTACGTATATTTTATTTATAATGTTATGAGTAATCGTTAACAATTCAAATTCACTGCCTTCAAATAAACAAGCATAAGCAATCAATAGAATAAAAATTGTATTATATAAATACTACGAAATATGAAAGCTTTATTATTATTAATATAAAATTTTCTTATATAAATTTAAAAAAAATATACTACAGGAAACTTTTTAGTCAGTAACTCTTCTTTTTTTAATTTTTCAACAATACAACAATTTTCCAAATAAAATAAATATATTTCTTTTATGTGTTTTAGAATTTACAAAAAAAGAACAAAAAAAATAACTAATTTTTTTTTTTTTTATCCAACGCTTGCATGACTAATTTATATTTGGTTAATAAAAGTCTTTATTAACCTCTTTGGTAATAAAAAGGACTAGCTACATGAAGAATACGTATTGGTTATGCATACACAAATAAAAAAAAAAAAGAAAGATATTTTTTCTTTTTTAATAAAAAAAGAAAAAAAATTTCAGGAAAATTGTCGAAAGATGATTTATTAACTGGGTGTTCGGTGAATTTACTGGAGTACTTAACAAACCAATTAATAAAGAGCATGTAGATGTGTCTCTACGATTTTGTTGTATTTATATGTATCTTTAATATGTTTTGAATGAGTAACTCTTAACTATGTGCTCTACATCGTTCAACATTCTTTACTTTCAATAGGCATTTATTTACTTTAATAAAAATCTTTATTTTTATTAAAAATTTAAATCCTTATTGAATATTGACTAATAATTAAATGTAACTTAATTATCTCTTTGTTGTAAGTTATATTCAGCAATTTACATATATTGCTGTTGAATTAACAAACATAAACAATTATTAAAATGCAAATAAATTATATGAATATTAATTACGTGAAAATTTTATCTTCATATGCATAAAATTTTCTCTCATAAATTCTAAATATAAATATTATGCAAATTAAACGCTTTACAAAAACTTTATTATCTTTTGTAAAAAAAAATCTCTCTCTTAATTAAAAAAAAAAAAAAATTAAATCTTTTTATTTTTTTTTTTTATTTTTATCTTTATCTATTTCGAAAGAAACATTTCTCAAAAAAAAAATTCCAATAATTTTTTTTTTTTTTTTTTTTTTAGTTAGCACAACCAATTATGTATTCTACACATAGCTAGTCCTTTTATAGCCAAAAAGGTTAATGAAGCCTTTTATTAACCAAAAGATTATTAAAAAATCAATTGGAAAAATATTTGTTACCAGTAAGAAAAAGATATTTTATATACAAAAGAATTTAATTTACATAGTATTTATAATTTTTATTTGTAAGAGAAAATTTTATATATATAACAATAAAATTTTCACGTAATTAATATTCATAATATTAATTTACGTTTTTATTAATTGTTTATGTTTATTAATTCATCAGCAATATATTTAAATTGCTGAACATAAATCATAACAAAGAAATAATTAATTTACATTTGATTAATAGTCAATATTCAATAAGGATTTAAATTTTTAAAAAAAAAAAAGATTTTTATTAAAGTAAATAAATTCCTATTAAAATTAAAGAATGCTGAACGAAGTAGATCACATAATTAAGAATCACTCGTTCAAAGCATTTAAAAATATATACAAATACATCTAAACCGTAGAGTAAACTCTGCATGCTCTTTATTAATTTGTTTGTTCAGTAATCTAGCAAAGTCACCGAATACCCAGTTAATCAATCAATTGGCGACAACGGCAAGAAAACCGAAAACAGCACAAACAGAACCGACATTGGATTAGAAGTTCAAAATGGATAAAGAATTATACAACCTTAAACTAGATTTCTTTTACGAATATAATAGAATTTAATCATTCATACATATTTTAAATTAGAAACAATCGATATAAGATAGGAACAAAAGTATCACCTGGACTCCCAAAATTTAGTGATTGATCTTTAGAACTATACTTTAGTTGGTTTAGGAAGTTCGAAATGAACGCAGAAATGCAAGGAATATCCAGAGTAAAAACATGTATGATATTAGAATCTTTAACATCAAACATCTACCACCAGGAAATAGCTAAGTTATCAAGAGGCAAAAAAATCACCGATATATTACATTTTCAAATTAAATTAGCTAAAGTAATATTTGAAGATCCAGACGAGAAATTCATTTTAGCAAGGAAGTTATT